GCAATAGCTAGCTAAATCCTATTGCCAAAATATGATAAAATAGGTATTTGCAGAGTTCATACAAACTAATTGGTGAGGGCGATGAAATGTTCTTTGTTGTTGCCACTTGCCAGCCTCTTATTAGGTAACACTGAAGCTATGTCTTATAACTTTGCTTCTGTTAACTGAAAATTTTATGTACCCAATAACATTTACTGTCTTTTCCTTTCTTTGTGCAGATTACAATTTATATGAAACAGAATCAGTATGACCTTTGGTTCTTAATGTTTCTTATGCCAGCCTCCATGTTCTTGATATTTACAAACAGTTACAGCGCAAAGCAATATTATTTGCATTTACCTGTGAAGTTGGGACAAACAACCTGCTTTGTATATTAGTCCCATGTCTTCATACAATTGCTATTTCATGACTGATCCAATCTCAACTGAGATGTTTTTTCCCTTTGATTTTAGGTCATTTCCTTTTCAGATTGTGGAAAGGGTGTTTTAATGCATGTTGATCGCACATGACACTGACCTGCCATTCTAGACAACATGTACTCTACTACTATTCCATTCGTTTTATCGCTCACTGTCATACCTTACCATCGTTCTTTAAGTGAATGGATTTTCAGTGTATCCTTTGAGTTTAGCTTTGGAATTGCCAACCAGTTACCTTAGGATGTTAATTGAATCTGCATTCTATGCATCCTTGATTATGTTTCCTGCATGTATGTAATTGGTATTCCGCCCAACAGAGATTGCATGCCAAGGAGAGAGATGTTCTTCAAATATTACTACTTAAGGTCTGTTTGCTTCCAAGGAATTGAGAGAAATTAGGAATCTAATAATGAAATGGAAAACATTCTTTAGACATTGATTTCAATTGATAGGATCCAAACAGGCCCTTACACTCTTTTTCTTGCGTCGATTGTATCTAGGATAATTTTTCTAACAATGAAATGACTAATTTATGGCAAAAGTTCATTTTTGTTTTCAAGTTATACTGTGTCACAATACCTTTGTGTACTTTCACACACCAAATATGCATGAGTAGCGCTACTTTCACACACCATATATATTCTTATTAGCTTTGTTTTGACCTTCATTTTTTTAGTTCATTTTTTGCACCATATCTTTGTTTACCTTGTGCACATGGCACAACAGACTTGATAAGTCTATTTCAACAGGAAAATTTTCTTCTCAAGGTACTGCATGTTTTTGTTTGTTAATGCTGTTATATTCTTCTATATGAGCAGAATTGGTGAGTCCGTGTTGACCCCTATGTTGCTTCCCTCCTAACTACGACCTCTCCCTGTTCAACAGAGATTCATATTCAGTAGCAGTGAGATCAACTCTGAATACTTGCAGGTGAGTAATCGTATGTACTTTAATTTTGTCAGTTGAGGCTCAGTCCATCTGTTATAGGAGAAAGAATGAAATGCCTCTAATTTACAGAAGGTGTCACTCTTGGTTCTATCATTCAAAGAGTATTATGCCCTATTTTGAGATCATCCCCACTGATGTTTAGATTATCTCTGTTGTCAGTGGCAACCTTACTGATGTTGAATGGCTTGAAATGCTCATCCCAAATTTTCATTGACCAACAATTTTAATTGCTTTACAAGCCTATTCACAAGTGTATCTAAAATACAGTTGGACGAAGAGATTGCAGGGAGAACATTCGGAGAGCACAAAGGTCATGCAACAACAGTGGCTTCATTCTTGCTGAACTAATTTGGAGACGAGGGTCCAGCTGCTATTGTTTTCTTACAATCCACACAACATACCAAGCATCTGTACTTTTTGTAACCATTTCGAATATTTGCAAACTATTTTCTGTTTTTTTTTCTTGAAAGCATGTACATTTATGTAGCCATAACGAATTACTAATGTATATTTGAGTCTCTATAGACCAGTGCTTCACTCTGTTGTACATATCTAAATTAATGAATACTATCCCGTTGTTGTTGTTTACCTTGCCCTAGAGATGCAAGAGTATCACTTCAGACTTCACAAAGCACAAACAGCTATAGGCCTGTGCAGCCAATACGGGCGCAGCGTAGCGCGCCTGCCTGCCTAGTTATATTAGTTCGTGAACTTGGGGTGAGCAGCACGTCTCGCCTCTCGGCTCAGGGCTCCTCCCTTTCCTGCACCACCATGCTACTCTTTGGCCGAACTTTTCCCAGACAATCTCTCTGGTTCAGGCATCCAAGCTCCTCGCTCGTGGTCATGCCCCTCTCAGACAACTGAGCTCACGGTCATGCCCCTCTTCCTTACTCCCACATGGCTCTCTTATTTTTGTGGGCGAGTGGCGATGGAGGGGCAAGCGACGATGGTGGTGCTGGGGTAGTGTTGATGAGGAGAACATGCTAGGCGAGCAGCGTAGAGTAATGAGGAAAGAGGAGATATATATGAGAACTTGACCGTTGTGGCACACTTATGACACTAGTATAGTGCCCGTGCTAACGCTACGGCTTCATTCAGGAATATACATGGAAACAACCAAATAACGATTTTTTTTCTAGAGTTCAACTTTCACACAATTGTATATGACCATGTATATACAATCCGGGAAACACTTACACGTAGCAAGGCATAATAAAGTTATTTCTCGCACTAACCATATAATTTACAATATGCCTAAGTCCTTAAACATGTCTTGGAGATCTTTATGGCCACTTCATGCAAACTTCCGTACCAAGCTTCTTAAAGTAGATATAGCTTCTTAAAGTAACTCTATAATTCACTTTTGATAAATGAAAGAAAAAATTGTATTTGATCTTTTTTAAAATTAAATTAGAACAAAACTAATTGTCTCTAGCTTGCGTGTTCTATTTCATAATGGCCTTTTATTTTCATAATCACGTGTCAAGTCGGTTCGTTTATTTTGTAAACTCGGTCGGGGCGTGTAGTGTGTTACTTTTATAACACAGTGGTCTAACTCCTCTCTTTGATACCAAATGTGCTAAACCTCTTCATCGATCTCCACTCTGTGGGCCCGGACCGTAAGTGACCCGTTTTGCTTCCTTGTCCAGGGTGCCGCCGTTGGTATTTTATGAGAAGAAAGGGGTAGACCTTTCCAGGTTTAGCCACGCTGTAGACGCTCCACTGCTCCTACTGACGCGTGGGGTAACCAAACCAGGTCCCACGTGTTCTTGACGGAAACATGCGAGTGGGTATGTTGGCAGGTCTGTCGCCATTCCTTATTGACGCAATACCAGAACGACACGGAGAGTTTTGGAAGGGCGCGTCAGATGGGGCCGGGCTCGGCGTGGGTTTTTCCATTATAATGACAAATCTGGAAATTGCCTTGATCGGAGTCACGGATCCCTCCTTTCTATTTACCTTGATTGACTTCCATTGGTTTTCATTTTACCGTAGCCTGCGGGATGTGTGAGGCGTGCGTTGAAGCCTGGGCGGGGGAGATTCAAATAACGTTGGCCATCGGATCAAGTTGAAGCCTGTGAGAAAGGATTAGGAGCCATATATTTTAATGATACGGTAATCCTGGGTACAATTTCGTTGGTGCACAATGGTTGTAGTCTCTCAGCGGGGGACTTTTTTTTTGAGACCTAGTATAGTTTTGATTGGTCCCTTATAGTAGAGATGTAGAATCCACTATAGCTGTAGATGATGGTGTGAAATCTCATCCAATTTGACTCATCCATCCAATCCATTTGACGGAGGTCGGTTTCGTTCGGTCACGTAGACAAGAAAAAGAGAAGCAAGTTTTTGTTCGGTCCGTTTTCATTCGAATTCGGCATAAAACGAACGCACATTTTAATTCTCATCCGGATTAAAAAAAACAATCCAATTTAAATGTGCCAATCCATGGAAACGACTCACAATCCAGGTCCTTAAGTGACACCAAACAAGATGGATCCATTCCTATTGATAAAACACTAAAGGCCTGTTCGGTTAACTCATTCTAGGCCAGGAACCATTCCCAATTTACTTGCTTAGTACAAATTAAATTAGTTGTTTTAGCTAGATTTTGTTTCCAGAGATGAGTGATTCTCTGCTAACCGAACGAGCTCTAAGTGGGATGATTCCATCCTACATGATAGATAGGACTATTTTATCTTGTTGTCGAACCAAATACACATTGATGATTAAGTAGCATGTACTAGCACGATAACGTGTCCCTTGCTTTGCAAAATAGACGGATAAAATTTGGCAAATATTTAGGTTCTGTTTAGAATGCAGGATTTTTTTTTTTATCTCCCACGTTTTGTATGTGTATGCTATAAATAAAATTCCTGCGTTCAAGGAGAGCCTTCAAGTTCAAGCGGAGCACCACATTGCTGTTTTGTTTCACAGCGGCAAAAGAAACCAAAACGGAGGTGTTCTCGCCTGCTCCCGTCCCAATTCACAAACAGAGAACAACATCCCCAGGCAAGGCCCAAGCGCCCAACTACTATTTCTCCCTCTCCCACCTTTCCCTCCCCACCACTACCTCCCTCCCTCTTATTCGTCGTCGCCTACCACCTCCCCCTCCTCCTCCCCGTGCAGACCTCCGCTCCGCACCGCCAATCCGTCGTAACCCTAGCCTAGCCCATCCTGGCCCCACCTGGCCCCGCTCCGTCCATGTGCGCCGCCACCGCCTCCCCGTGTTCGTAGCCGCCGCCGCCGCGGGGAATCTTCCTCCCATGGGTTCCACATACGCCGCCGAGAGGACGCCGATCGAGGGAGAATGAGGTGCTGCGTCTGCCGCGTATCCTCCGCCGGGTGCCGGGCCATGGGCGTTGCGGGACGGGCGAACCCGACGTCGTCGCTGCGCAGCCGACGCTGCCTCCGCATGCGGCCGTCGTACGCCCCGTTCTCCGAGCCCTTCACTGAACGCGCGGCACCCGCCTCCCCGTCCTCCTCCCCATCATCCCCTGCTGCCGCGCCAAGGGCGTAGGAGCCGCGGGCGGACCACCGGTATCTCCGGCGATCTCCCTGGTCCATTCCTCTTTGCTTCCTCTCTCTCTCTCCCTCTCGCTCGTAGAGTCATTTGCTTGTCGGGGCTGATCCGGAATGGAGGTGTTTGGTTGTGGGGATGAGGTGGTCGATGCTGAATACGCGGAAGTAGATCCAACCGGGCGATACATGCGCGTAAGTTCCTTGTCTATCAATCCCTGTCTGACTTTATCCTGTCATGGATTCGTATTACATTTTAGGTCTGTTCGATGTGAATGTGATATTGTGATTTGACATCTCCATGGTATTATGTTAAGCTTTAATGGTCACTCAATTAGTCAATTTACTGAAAAACAATGCATGCATACATCATTTTAGTGAAAAAAAAGCATCCTGTCTCTTGATGTTGACGTGTTTCTGATGTAAACAATATTATTCTAAAGAAATTGATAGTAATCATCTGTAAAATGGAATGTCCTGAATTTCATGCTCAGTCATGAAAACAGGTCATGCAAAATGACACACGAAAACGACATGACCCTGCCAGTTGTATTGATCTGATTCTCTTTCCTTGGTGCAGTATAATTTGATTCTGGGGAGAGGAGCTTTCAAGACTGTGTATGCCCTCTGCTCCTCAGCATCCTCTTTGCCCACTTTACATTTCCTTGTTAAATAGATTCCTTTGCTTGCAATTATTCCCTCTGCTCCTCAGCATCCTCTTTGTCCACTTTATATTTCCTTGTTAAATAGATTCATTTGCTGCAATTAGTTGTCTAACTTTGAATTTGAAAATATATTGGGGGAAAAGGTCTTGCAAACCTGTAAGATGCAGTTGAACATAGATGCACGTTTTAACTGGTCACAGGCTTATATCAAGAGCTGTGAGCCTGTGACCAACTTCTTTAAAAGTAGATATGTTTTTGCTATAGTGGGAGTGTCGGGCTGTTGAGCTGATTTGTTCCTCTGGCATTTTGGTGGTTGACATGACACTTGACAGTAATAACCATTGTTTAAGATATATCTCTCCACCTGTGTCTTTCACATCAGAAGAAAGACATTACTGTTGCACGCCAAACATGGTAGTGATTTACTGCAATTCAGAAGGGATATGCTTATTAGAAATTCGCTACACAATCATAATGGCACATGATTTATTATGTTTTTCTGAATTGTCTTCAACTCTTTAGAGTATATTAATTTTGGTATGTCTAAAATTTCATATATGCTTTTATTAAATTTATATAGTTACAAGGCATTTGATGAGGTCGAAGGCATTGAGGTTGCATGGAATCAAATCAACATAGATGAGGTGATGCAATGCCCAGATAATCTTGATAGGCTCTACACAGAAGTTCATCTTCTGAAGTCTCTCAAGCATGGAAATGTTATGAAGTTTTATTATTCGTGGATTGATGACCAGAGTAAGACAATTAATGTCATCACAGAGCTGTTCACATCTGGAAGTCTCAGGCAGTTAGTAACCAACTAATAACCATTCTTTATTATTGCTTCCATTCTTATTGAGAAATGACACTTGGACCTTTGTGTGTTTCTAGTTACCGTCAGAAACATCCACGTGTTAACTTGAAGGCAATAAAGAATTGGGCAAGGCAGATTCTTCATGGGTTGGATTACCTGCATAGCCACCAACCTCCAATTATTCATAGAGACTTGAAGTGTGATAATATTTTTGTTAATGGAAACCATGGAGAAGTCAAGATTGGAGATCTTGGGCTAGCTACAGTAATGCAAACACCAAGGGCGAGGAGTGTTATTGGTAATGATCTTATCACTTTATTACTTCAAATTCTTAATTTACTATAAACAAATCTCTTGTTGATCTAATGTCCTTCAGTCTGGAGAGATAATCTAGGTGACCATTTCATCGATACCGCTTACTTGAAAGGAGAATTTATGATTTTTATTCCCTAGTTATTCTTGATTGGATCTGAGCTACCAAGGATACTGTGGTTGCATAGAATTTGCTGTCCAGTGGCTGTTAGTCTTATTTACATGCAGAGCCAATTAGCCATAATGTTCCAACTCGCTGACATCTGCTGCATGCATAAGCATTGTTCCTAAATGACCTATGCCTCATTCAAATTAGCTTGCTTTGTATCTAGGCTTACAAGTTGGTATCCAATGGTGTTTCCTGAGCTAGGTTTTAGATATTGCACCATGCCATTTTAGACCCCCTCTCCACAAGCACACGCACAAAAAAAGTGGAACTTGCATCCCTATTCCTATTCGTACCTGTCAGTCTGTCACCTTGGATTACTTTTTCTGTGGTACCTGTTTGCACCGTGTCATACTAGACTAGGACTACCATGCTGTAGTGTAGAGCTTTATTGTGTTGGGTGAATGACTGTAAAATCCTTGAATATGCCTGTGACCAATGGTCTCGTGTTTCCTCTGTTGCTCTTGATGTATTTTATGACATTATTAATCATCATTTTTGAGAGATCAATTATTAATATTATTTGACAATGTTAAACTTTTTATCATCTGTTCATATTTGCTTTCTGATTTACCTGATAGACTCCTATCATGTGGGACATGTGTCTTACATCCTGCAGGTACTCCAGAATTCATGGCACCTGAACTTTATGATGAAAGTTATGATGAACTTGTTGATATATACTCATTTGGAATGTGCTTGTTGGAGATCTTTACTCTTGAATATCCATACAGTGAATGTACGAATCCAGCTCAGATTTTTAAGAAAGTATCCACAGTAAGTGCTTATTCACTTAATTTGTAGAATTGCAACACTATTTTATCTAAACTACCACCTCATATCTGTAGGGTGTTAAACCTGCTGCATTGGCTAAAATTTCTGATCTTCAAGTAAAGCAGTTCATTGAGAAATGTTTAGTTCCTGCTTCTGAGAGGTCGTCTGCCAAAGAACTTCTGCAAGACCCATTTCTTTGTCCTGACAATACACATGAACCTGCTATCACTAAGTTTACATCTCCAACACCTAATAAAACAGTAGATATTTCTTTGGCGTCTTTGCATATGGACGTTGACACTTTCGAATCTAGCCCTTCTAATTCATGCAAGGAAAATGCACATTCACCAGTCCTGGAGTTCACAAGAACCAACAAAAATACAGAGCTAAAGCTAAAGGGCGAGAAACATGATAACAACTCAGTCTCACTGGTTTTGCGAATAGCTGATTTGTCTGGTATGCCTTACTTTGATACATTTCTTTTTGAACCTAAATTTTTGTATATTGTTGGTGCCTTAACAGCTAATGCCTTTCTGATTTCAGGTCATGCAAGAAATATTCATTTCCTCTTCTACTTGGACTCTGATACAGCTATGTCTGTAGCTGCTGAAATGGTTGAACAATTGGAGTTAGCAGATTGCGATGTTACTTTCATTGCTGATTTTATTGACCTTTTGATAGTGAATCTTGTTCCGGGTTGGAGACCTGTAAATGATGCAGCAGCGAAGTCGTATGGGCAGTCTGAAAGTGAACTTGCAATCACTTCCCATCAGAACATCTCAAAGTTGGCACCTGATTATGCATTAATTGATGGTATGATGCACCCAAAATATGTGAATGCATCATCAACTGGTTTTCTTGATTCTGTCTCATGTGCAACCAACCTAGGAGGATCACAAGGTTCTGAAGGTTCGGTTATTTCTGTACAGCTTGCTGAGAGTTCCAAAAGTGTGAGTGACTATGGGGCCGAGGATTATGGTACTATGGACTGTGGTGGGTACAAAGAGGGAATCAGTAAAGTAGATTGCTGCCAAGTATTAGATGATGGATCGAGGTCAATTTTCCATATAGATCAAGCATCACCGTTCTTGGAGTTGGCCAGCAGTGGTTCATCAACTTCTACTGATAATCAGGATGTGCTGAACGGGGAGCTTGTTTTGATTGAAGCTCAGTACAAACATTTGGTTGATGAGTTGACAAGGATGCGAGAAGAGGCTATGGAAGGAGCTCGAAAAAAGTGGTTGCCAGATAAATGATGTTTTTGTTCAAATTTGGCATTTCTTCTAAACATCATAAGCTATGTTCGATTTCATGTTTGAAGTGTGAAACGTTAATAATCTGTTTTAGTTAAAGCATTGATGTAGTTTGCAACTCACATGAAACTTCGTGGCCGATCGTTCTCTCGTTGAGGAGGGTGCTTCCCGGCCCTGCCTGGGCCATCTGATAACAGAGGGGCTGTGGAATAATTAGAATTAAAAATTTACATTCTCACAAGCATATCACCGAACATCCAATCTTGTGTGCATAAATGAAAAACAGCACTCAACATTGAATTCACCAAACTGTCTAAACTTCTAACAACAATATACTTCATCAATTATTAGTTCACTAAGACATCAAACCACAAGCCTTAATGAGTGATTTTGAGAATTTTTTTCGTAAATTAGCTCAGGAACACTTTTTCCTGTAAAAAAAAGGCCCTAATGAGTGATTTTGAGAAACTTCTTAGTAAATTAGCCCAGGGACACTTTTTTTCCTGTAAAACAAGTCATTCACGCTACAAGTACTAACAGTAGGCAGCGCGTTGAAGTCGTCAAACCAGAATTGAAGCACATACATTCCAGAACGCTTCACTGCTACTAGTGTAAGGTCAATTTCAGTTGGGTTCCATTCTCATTGAGGCCTTTTTGGATGTTGATGTATCTACCTCAATCCATCCACGTGTGCTGGAGTGGTTTGGGGTAAAATTTAAACTAAATTCCACACCAAACCACTCCATGGATACATGAACATCCAAACAAGCCCTAAACGAGGTGCCAGCCACACAAGTGTATTTGATGACCTGGCACTAAAATTATGAAGAAGTAAATTTGATGGCATGGCACTAAAATTATGAAGAGAGAGTAAACTGGGTGTCCACTCTTTTTAAAACTTGGAAACTGTTCCACATTAGCATTGAGGGACAAAAGTTTCATTCATACAATATTTGCCCAATCACACGTTAAATGTTTTAAGTAGACTATTAAACAACAAAAATGAAACTATGCATTGAACATTCATCATCACAAATAACTCTAGATGATGTGTCAGTCTCAGAGACTTCAAAATGAAACTCTCCGTTAAGATTGGCTTACTAGGCGCAACATGCGTCTCTAGCAGCCAAAAAGCGATGTCATATATAGTACAGTCATTTCCAAAAGTTTGTACTTAAGTACACGCTGATTAAAAGAAGCATTACATGTGCAATAGGACATGTCAACACTCAAAACTGAAGAAGCACAGGGAGCGTAGTGTAAGCAAAGTGTGAATGTCAAGATCAGTCCTCTCTCCATTCATGCTGGCATTCCTCTTTGCAACACCTGTATATTGTTGTCATCGGTTCATCAGCTGATCGAATCTGCATCTGCTTGAAGTATGCTTCTCCATGGTTGCATCTTTGGCATGTAACTGCGAGTTTAGTGAATGCACTTAGCAGACTATGGTTTTGCACATCATATTATGTATATATATACATGCATCCAGGTCCAGGCCACAAAGTAATCTACAGCAGATACAAAGGTCCATCCATGTGGTTATATTGTATTCGAGTTAGGCTATCAATCTGATTTCACAAATTGTTCAAACTTCAAACAATATGCCTCCACTGTGGCAAACTTGGGTACGTGGCTAGTAATCAAGTTTAGTGAATGTACTTGGTGTGTTATGTTGGCACATCACTTGTTCAGCTCAAGTCACAGATAAAAAGTGAAGTTACTTAGATGTGTCTAAGAGAAGGCTTCCTCTGTATAGCAACAATTATTAGTGAATCATGGATATTGCATCACATAATATGCTATCTGTCTGCCCTTCTAAATCATTTTCTAGAAGAATTATTTCTTCCATCCTGCAAGCGATGAGGTACAAGTCCTATTAGATCACCAGTCACCACACCACCTAAAAATTGATGCTATTTCCATCATTTCGACAGTAACAACTAGACTGCAAGCATGACATTCCAACATTGTGATCTTATGTTAGTAAATAGGTACCTCCAAGAAAATTTTGCAGCATGTCAATATAATAATAATTTTCCAACAAAAATGTGTCAAACATCTTATTGAATATTTCCTAAAACATCTGATTGAATACTCCCTTCTCCTTGATAAGTAGTGAATATTTTTTAACATCAAATTGTAAGGTTTCAGGTTTCTTATCTGTACTTAGCAGATACAATGCCAAATCTGCTTTAAGTTTGAAAAATAAAAGTGGGCAGGATGAAGCTTGTAAGAAACATGATATGCTTCCTGTGTAAAATACCATGTTGCACGTTGTGACACGACTTTGACCTTATCATTTCATTCTACCAGTGCTTTAATAAAGAGGTGATATCATTTTCTATATTTACTAAACCTCTTAGAGATAGTGTTTGGTACGGGTAAATATAACAGGACTTGATTACAGACGTTAACAGACCTCATTGCTTCTTGAGTACAATCTACACCGATGACCCCCCCCTTTCAAAAAAGGAAAAAAGAATCTCTCATCGTCTCCACTCGACACTGTGGCTCAGACTTCGCCAGCTCAGCAGTGGGAAGAACGCTGTCCGTCCACCAGCATTTTCTGCTCCCATACCAGTGAGCCTAGTATGTTGACTTCTTCCTCACTGAGCAAACCCTCTATCCAGTTTCCCTGGATCTGAGGAGGAACATGAGTAGGAGGGTATGAAGCAAGGTGAAGTCATGAAGAAGACGATGGCGCCATGAACGGCAGAGGCTGTTGGTCGACGCAATGTCTCACCCCATGTTCTCTTGCTTTGGATGTATTCTTTTTTTTTTAAAAAAAAATGACAGCTTGTTTCTGGATATTGCTCTTGATGGGTGTTGCCAGGATGAAGAGATTGGGGATAAATATTGGTTTTCACGCAGATATAAGTGAATCTCTCTTGAAATTGGATCAATGCTCCCTTTCAAATCTGGGCCCTTTCCTTGTTAATCAGTTTTGATTTTACATTCCAGTTCTGTTCAGTTTCAGCAAGATCAGATGAAGCAATGCATGGTACCCTGTACTGATAACGCCAATGAATGCAACTAAACAGAGAGGGTAAATCAACCATTACGTCACCAAACATGCTGCAACCTTATTCCATCTGCGTTTTCGTTACCATTCTACCAACCAAACAATAACTACATTGAAATTTTGGCGATTTACTCAAAAAATGACATAACCCACCAATTAGAGAACCAAAGTAGAAAACAAAACTCAGTATTACCAGAATATATGTTGACTGTTCTGATATAACCGTTTGCTTTCGAGACTCAAAACCTCAATGCCAGAGGTGATGACAACGTTGCCCAGTGGTTAACAATGAAAAGCTATCAATATCAATAAATAACAAGCCTTGGGAAAGAACCGCATCATACTTCGGAAGACCGAGCAGAGTAGAGTAGCTCCACGTAACAAAGAGCAGGACGGAGAGCTTACCTGCGGTCTTAGGGGCCGACTTCATCTCGTCCGCCGTGCTGAAGATGGGCTCCACCTCCTTCTTGACCAACCTCGCCTTCTTCACGATCTGCGGCACCACGAAGGAAAAGGGAAGCGCATCAGACTCGGATCGATTTGAGGCATCAGAATGACAGAAAGCAACGAGACAGAAAAGGTTGCAGCGAGGAAGAGGTACAGGGCGATGGACCTTGTTCTGGATGGGGCAGACGTAGGGGCAGACGGGGCAGAAGAGGCGCAGGCGGTGGCTTCCGGTGCCCGGATCGATCTGCAGCAGCATCCCACACACCGGGCAGAATTCCATCGCCCTCCCCCTGCCGCCCTTCGCCGCCGCCGAGCTTCAGACGTCAGCGTGCCCCGCCGAATAGACCGGGATTTCCTTTCCGGAGACAAAAACCCTGGTTTATTGGGCTTGGCCGGGATTGTTTGGACGGATCTCTCAGGTGATGACATCATGGGCCGGTGAGCAACATGAGTGTCAAAAAGATGGGCCGTGGGCAGACAACTTTGGCTCTCAACCGCTATAAAATCTCTCCTCACAGATTGTCATGATCTATCGATCCAACAATCCACTCTCGAGTTTCTCAAAAAAAAAAAAAAAACAATCCACTCTTGACTCTCCACCAGCTTTTTCCTCAGCGTTCTTTTTATTTGAAAAAAGATCAAATTATCCATTAAACTTTGTGCAAAATTATCCACCACCCCCGTGTCCCTTCTCCTAACACACATGCCGCCTCCACCAAACGGTAAGCCATTCCTCACCCCATTTTTTTTTGCAATTTAGGCCCCCCTTTTTTTTTGAAAAAAAATCACGTTTAGACCCCTAGGCGAGTAAACTCAACTTTGGACCCTCGGAGTCGGCGCCGAGGTAACACGTCTCGGTGCCACGACTCACGGCGCCGAGGTGCATGGCCCTTATTTGCGTGGAAGCCGATCTGGCGCTTACGTGGCAAATACCTCGGCGCCATAGATCACGGCGCCGAGGTAATAACCCTATACGCGGCTCAAGCCAGCGCCACTTCTCCCTCTCTCTGTCCCTCTTTATCGTGCTCGGCTTGGCCAACCACACCGCCGCCATCGTCACCGCCGCCGTCCCCCCCGCCCGTGTCCTCGCAGGCTGCGACCGACCCCGCCCGTGCCCTCGCAGGCCGCGGCCCCCCGAGAATGCCCCCTTCCCTCCTCCGCTTGCCTTGTCGGCGTGGCGAGTGGCGGCCACACACTTCATGGGAGGTCCCACCCCGGGTGGGCCTCCGACCCCGCGCGCCCGCCCCTTCCCCTTCGATTGCCGGTAGCCCCTCCCTCTACGCTTGACCCTCTCCGGTACCTCCAAAGAAGGTAATTTTTAGTTAAGTTAAATTAGTTAATCTACTTTAGGTAATTTAGTTAGTAATTTTTTTAGAATATTTAGCAAATTTAGTTAGCAAATTTAATTACATAGGTAGATAGTTAGATGCTTATTTATTTAGTTATATTATATACTTAGGAATATATTTATGTAGCTTATTTAGTTAGATTAGATTGTTAGAGACATAATTAGGGAGCTAGTTACTTATTAATTTAGTTAGCTAGTTAGTAAGTGTAGTTACCAAATCTTATATATTGTTAGAGAGATAGTTAGGTAGTTAGATACTTATTTGTTTAGGTAGATAGTTAGGTAATTTAGTTAGCAAATATAGTTAGATATTGTGGTTAGTTATCTTATAATAATATACCCGTAATAACTTGGTTGTTGTGCATACCAACTAGAGGGACAACGTAGTCACCCTGTATCATGGAGGAAGTGTGGAGGAAGATGAGTTTGAGAATGTCAGTTTTGTTGGAATGCAAATGGTGCCAGTGATATTTGATGATCGGCCATTGTTTTGTGATTTGTTTGGTAGGGCTCGTGATGAGCTTAAATGCAATTCAAATGAAGATGCCATCTTAGTTGAGAGGGTACTTCACCATGGCAGGTCAGGGACAATTTTTAGGCGGTTGGTCCCAATTGCATTAGAGGCTCAATGGGACAAATATGTCAAAACTGTCATGAAGAATGAGTTTCAATGTTTGGATTTGGTTGTGCGGAAGTTGTCCAATGATCCCACCCCTCATGGGTATTCACCCCCTAATGGGCATTCACTCCCTCGTGGGTTCTCGCCAGAATTGGAGAATCCGGCACCTTCTGACCCTCCGTTACCCAACCGCGAGGTGGATGTGGATGATGTGGTTGTGGTGCCCGATGCTCAATCCACCCCGAATGAGGTTGGAATATGTGCCAATGATGTTGCTGCTGCCCCTTAGGAGATCCCTTTGACCCAGAATTATCCAAGTAAGTGACGTAGTAACACTTTGGCTTTCCTTATTATTCCTTCATTCCGTTCCTTTGTCTCAATTCTATCCATATTTGTGCTTTAAATGCAGGAGACAATCCTGATAATGATGGTTGTCCTCCTGTGCCTCCATATTCCAACGTGGACCTAGGGTTTATAGCTTCTAACAGTGTGGATGTTAATATTGAGGATGATGGGGAGCCTTATGGCACAACAAGAGCTATTGATTCTGATCATAACCGCCCAATTGTAGCTTTGAGCGAACAAGAAATGGAGCTCATCAGAGGTTTATGTCCTGATCGTGATCCACTAGTTCATGAATTCAACGACCTCAGTCATTCTCAACATAGTTATGGAGAAGGAAGAGACGATGAGCTGCTAGAGGCTCTTGAGGCCGGTGATAGTGTGGAAATTCAGAAGGGCATGGTCTTCAAGGACTCACCGGTGACAATATGCATGGCACTTTATTTGTTTTGCTATCTTATTAATCATCGACAACTGCTTGCTCTTTTTGTATAGGATGGAGCTGTTCCACCTCCTGGATCCATACTACGAGGAGAAGCACCGAGGACGATGCACCGCGGAGGGGGAGGTACTGACTGGATTTTTTTGTTGTGACCTTTTATTTCTTTTATTTCTCATGCATTAAATAAAATAACTACAATGGTTGCAGGAACTGGCCCCTCTTCGTCCTAGAACCCATGACAAGTTCGAGGAGATACGGTACGATGACAGGTACACGCCTATGCTACAGAGGGCTGGCCTGGATGTCGTATCGTACCAGGTTCGCCGTGGGTTGCCTGTCATCAACCCCGCGATGATCACAGCTTTGGTTGATAGGTACACCCATTATCAATACTAATTGTTTTTTCCACTTCCATTTTTTATGTCCTTGATGTCCTCCTAATAATAGTACTCGATCATTGCTTATGTAGGTGGAGGCCAAAAACTCATAGTTTCCACCTACCTTGTGGAGAGATGACTGTTACGCTTGAGGACACTCAGAAATTCCTTGGTGTGAGTGTTAGAGTCCGTCCAGTTATCAGCCACTGTAGGTCTAACGGTTGGAGAGACAGAGTGGAGGCCTTCCTCGGGAGACCACTTCCTCTGGAGGCAACGGGTACCCGCACCACAGGGGTATCTATTAACTAGCTCAGGCAGAATTTTGCTCAGTGTCCGGATGGTGCAAATGAGGAGACAATTACTTACTACTGCAGGGCTTGGATCCTACACTTGTTTGGGTGTTATCTCTTCCCTGATGTGACAGGGGACACCGTGTCATGGATGTACCTCCCGTGCCTTACTGACTGGGACAACGCAGGGGGTTATAGCTAGGCTTCTGGAGTGGCAGGTGTGTCTACCTTCTCCAGCTTTGGATGTGGTCTCGTCTTCCAGTTGGCCAGCCCATAGTGCAAACTCCTCGTGAGTGGTTCGCAGTGAACAACCCTCGACACCGACCGATGGTTGCCCAACTTTGGGACCAGGTCAAAGTCCCCTTCAACAGGACTGCACGTGCCTATGTCCAGTATGCCAACGAGCTCGACACGCTTAGGCCATCGATGGTGAGTTAAATGCATTTGTTATTGTCTACTATGTATCTAGGATAACTATTCTAACTTACACCCTCGATGGCTTACTTTTGCAGGTTACTTGGGAGCCATACAAGGACATAGAGGTGGTGCAGCTTGGAGCAAGCACCATGTGCAGCGCGGACGAAGACTTGTACAAGATGAGGTGCTCGCTGATCTGCTTCTACGCTGTTGAGTATCACCTTCCACATAGAGTTGCACGCCAGTTTGGCTTGAGTCAGGAGTGGCCAGTCGAGCCGTTCTTGACGTCCGTGGAGTTGCACAAGTAAGTTTCATTTAAGACCAAATGCTTTATTGATGCCATTTAGACCAATATGACTATTTTAGCTTTTAGTTCAATATGTGACCAAAGGATTTATTGATGCCATTTAGACTAATATGATTATTTCAGCTTTTAGTTCAATATGTGACCAAATGAGATTTAGATGCCATTTGAGATTTTAGTTTACTATGTTACCAAATGATTTATTGATGCCATTTATACCATTCACTAGACGTGTTACTTGAAAATTTTACAAAATCAACTTGGTAAATCTACTTAGATAAATAGTTCATCTAGTTCTCAAGTATATTATTAAATCACCAATTGATTCATGCAAATGTAAGTGGCAGGAGATGATATTTTTTCCCTAAAATTGTATATCACAAGCAATGAACACTTTCAGGATTGATCGTCAGAAACAGAAGAAGACGGTTGAGTTTGAGACGCTACACCATGAGCACATGGATGTGTGGGATCTTTTTCATGACAACCTGTACCAAAACGACCAGCCACACACCAACTAAACTTCTGCGCATACCTATCTTGGTACCATGGCATCACACGAACAAGGTTGAAGACTCAATGGACCCAAGCCGACTACGCCGACCTTGAATCTTCAGATGATGAAGACACGTCCTATGACCTTGCAACGTTACAAGGGACACTTGTGGAGGCAGCACCTGTCTTGGACCGAGTGGTTAATGATCTTTAAACTTTTATGTACTACAATCTCTATAATGACCATAAACGACAAATAACGATATAATATTTGTCTTATTTTGCAGGGCAACGCGCTGAAGCAATCTGTGCTTGACATCGAACGGTTTCCAAGGACAGGCGTGGAAGAGCACACGCTCAACAACTTTCTTGGAGTAAGTTGACACCAACACAATCACAATATTAGTATGTGTACTGTTTTTACCTTGCTTACTAATTACATCTTTGCATGACAAAGGCTAGCACGTAGGCTGTGGCGTGCTGCAACTCGTTGTGGTTGCAGTACTAGCGTTGCGATGGACGTACACAGGCCACACACACGACACTGGGACACACCTGTAGGCCTCGGTACTTCTTCTCACGGAGGTATATTTTCATTACATGTGTTCTTTAGTGGAACGGAGTTAAATGCTACATTCCTGACATA